CAGCTCTCCTCTCCCGAAGCGCCATGTCCAGCTTACGTTTTTCCTGACATGCACTACATTTAATATGCATTACACCCTTAGAAACTACAATGTGTGACATCTGATTTCAGACCACAATAGGCACAGTAGGGAACAGTTATCCACACTATGGAAAGGTTTTTGTCTTTACAAAAAAATTCAGCACAGAAATCCTTAAGATTGGTGATTCCAAAGGGTCAAACTAGCTGCAGAAGGACCACTGGAGGAAGGGGCACTGCTAAGATAATTTCTCAGAAGTATATAGTAACGGAAACAGGGGATTAAAATGGCGCACTATTTAACACAAGAGAACGCAGTGATGGGGAACTGAAGAACGAGAAGACCCAAGACAGAGGAAAAAACAGCAAAACAGAGTAAGTCCTTTCTTATCCATAATTACATTAAATGTAAATGGATTGAGCTTTTCAATTAAAATTAAGACGGAGATTCGCAGAATAGATTTAAAAGAATAATCCAACTACATGCTATGTACAAGAGACTCGCTTTAAGATTAAAAGATACAAATAGGCTTAAGTAAAAGGACAGAAGATATTCCATGCAAACAGTAACCAAAAGAGAGCTGGAGTGACTATACTAATATCAGACGAAACGGACTTTAAGTCAAAAACTGTTACCAGAGACAAAGAAGGACGTTATACACTGTGAAAAGGGTCGATTCATCAAGAAGACACAATTAGAAAGATACATAGACCAAAGAGAATCCTCACATATATGAAACAAAAACAGACAGAACTGAAGGGAGAAATAGAGCTCAACGATAACAGTTTGAGAGTATAATAACCTTATTTTCAATAATGGATAGAATAACTAGAAGGAAGATAAGGAAATAAAAGACTTGAACAACACCATAAACCAGCTAGCCTGAATAGTCATCCACAGAGCATTCTGCCCAACGACACCATAATACTCATTCTCGAGTGCCCACAGAACTTCTTCCAGGACGGATCCTACGTTAGGCCACAAAGTAATAATAAATTTATAAAAACTGAAATCATACAATGTATCTTCTCTGACAGCACTTTTTTTGTGGGGGGAGAATGAAATAAGAAACCAGTAATAGAAGGGAATCCAGAAAATTCACAAACACATGGAAATTAAACAACACATCTTAAATAACTGATAGGTCAAAGAAGAAATCACAAGAGAAAATAGAAAATATTTTGAGATTAACAAAAACAACGTACCAAAAGATATGGGATGCAGTGAAGGAAATTTAAAGCTGTAAAGGCAAACATTAAAAAAGAAAGAAAGATCTCAAATCAGTAAGCTAAATTTCTACCATAAGAAACTAGAAAAAGGAAAACCCAAAGCTAACAGAGGCAAGGAAATAATAAATATTAGAGTGAAGATAAACACAACAGAGAATTAGAAAAACAATAAAACCAGTTTAGAATAGAATAGAATCAACAATAGAAAAGTTGGTTCTCTGAAGAGACCAAGAAAACGAACAAACTGTTAAGCTAGACTGACCAAGGAAAAAGAGAAGACCCACATGACTGAAATCAGGACTGAGAGCGGGGACTTAACAACCTCCCAGCAGTAAAAAGGAGTACACGAGACTACTACGAACAATTATACGCCAATAGATTAGATTACATGAACAAACTTCTAGAAAGACACAAATTACCAAAACTGACTCAAAAAGAAATAGAAAATCTGAACAGACCTATAGGAGACTGAATCAGTAACCAAAAAAAAAACAAAAAACAAAAAACAAAAAAAAAAAACTTCCAACAAAGAAAAGTCCAGGACCAGATGGCTTCACAGGTGAATTCTATGAAATGTTCAAAGAATCAGCACCAATCCTTCTCAAATTATTTTCAAAAAATAGAAGAGGTCAGTATGTGTGAGGTCACTGATACCCTAATATCACAGCAAGTAAAGCTATCACAAGAAAAAAAAACTACAGGCCAATATCCCTTATGAATATAGAAGCAAAAATCCTTGACAAATACTAGCAAGCCAAAGCCAGCAGCATGTTAAAAGGATCGTACGCCACGATCAACTGGGGTTTATCCCAGGATTGCAACAGTAGTGCAGTATATAAATATCAATCAAGTTTAACAGAATCATGTTAGCAATTCCACTCCTAAATATATGCAAGAGAAATGAAAACAGATATCCTCACAAAAACTTGTACATGAATATTAAGAACAGCTATTCATAACCGGTAGGAACAACCCAATTGTCCATCGACCAATGAATGAATAAATGAAATGTATATACACTCAATGGAATATTATTCAGCCATTAAAAGGAATGAAGGACTAACACGTTACGACATGAATGAACCCTGAACACATTACACCAAGTGAAGAAGCCAGACACAAAAGGCCAAATATCGTATGATTCCATTACATGAAATATACAGAACAGGCAAACTCACAGGGACAGAAAGTAGATGAGTGGTTGCCAGGGGCTGGAAAGGTGGGGAAATGGAGAGTGACTGCTTAATGGATATGGGGTTTCATTATGGTGTGACAAAAATATTCTGGAATTAGACAGTGTAACGGTTGCAAAACACTATAAATATTCTAAAATATCCTATATAGGTAGATATTAGAAATCTATATAGATATTAGTATATATCCATATATAGATAAAACATAGATATTCTAAAATTCATGGAATTATATACTTTAAAATGGTTAAAATGGTGAATTTTATGTTACATAAATTTTATGTTAATTAAGAAATTAATTAATGGCCATGCTACCCTGAACAAGCCCAATCCTGTCTGATCTCGGAAGCTTAGCAGGGTCAGGTCTGGTTAGTACTTGGATGGGAGACCACCTAGGAAGTCCAGGTGCTGTAGGCGTAAAAAATAAAAAAATAAAAAATAAGAGACTGTAAGCTGACAAGGTCCTTGCAATCTGTGAGATCGAGCAAGGGTTGCCTCGCTTAAAAAATAAAAAATAAAAAGAAAGAAAAAGAAAAAAAGAAAAAAATAAGAATTGTTGAGAAAGCCGCTAAGGAAAACAGGTGCCCAGGCTGCCCCCTCGAGTTCTGACACTTGGCTCAAGGCAAGGGCAGGTATATAGATATTTTTAAAACTTCCCAATAATTCTAATGCACAGTTAGTTTGAGGAACCTCTGCTTTAGTTAGTAAATTCCTTCGGTGAGTTCGAAATTCATTTACTCAATAAATATTTGTTAAAAGGCTACTATATGCAAGTCCTTCTAGGTACCATAGGATACAGAAAAACCAAGAGTCCCCTCTCTCGTGGCCTTACTATTCTACAGAGGGAGATAGAAAACAAACATAAAACAACTTAATTTCCAAAATCTTTTAATGACCATGTGACTTCCTCATTTCTTTATTCTACTCAGCCCCTTGTTAAATCAGGCATAGCTCTGGGCCAGCTAATCATTAATATGATGCAACTGTCCTCAATAAAGAGGCGAGTTTCCCTCACTAAATAAATATATGGGTCGGTGAAGCCAGTGCCATTGGGAGGTGGCAGCCTGCCGCCAAGTTCACAACTCCAGACTTCCATGGGGGGCTTGCCACAGAGACTACATTCTCCAGACTTCAAGGTTAAGAAGTGAAAGCTCATTATTATCCTTTTCAGAACCAAAAAGCAGTCACAGACTTGCCAGTTCTTGAGTACAAATATGTGCTATAAAAACAGAGATCAGCTTACCTGGGCAAAGGCCAAGTTCAGCACTGTTTCGGAGGCCAAGTACTGTAGCCGGTACTCCTTGGAGAGGGCCAGGGCCTGCAGGAGCACGGGCAGCGCGATGGTGGGGGAGGAAGACTGCCAGTACAGCTCTGCCACGGACAGCAGGACACTACCCGCAAGGAGGAAGACATGGGATGAGAGCAGCCACCACAAAGCGCCGCCTATGAGATGCACGGGAGACCTTTCTTACCTGATCACCATTTCTGTGTTCCTGATTTTCTGACAATGAATCAACAATTTTTGTAAAAGCTTGTGTGCCTCTGACATTTGGTTCTGAGCTTGTAGTACAACTGCTTTTCTGAATCAGAAACAAATAGACAGAAGGGGTTATGTTGATGTTTGCAAGGGTTATGAATATAGTCACTTTCGAGGTTACACTCCCCATTTCCTCAATTAGGCTGTAATTAGACCCCCCAAAGGGAAGAGCTGTGCCTAATATAATTTTTGTTAAAAGAGGGGGAAAAAAGTGTGTGTGTCAGCACATATGTGTAACGCACACCACACAAGACTAAAGTCTGGAACTATAGCTATCAGAATGTTAGTGATTATCTCTGAATGGTACTTATTTTCTCCATTTTGCTTATCTGTATTTTCTCATTTCCTGTAATAAGTACCTAATAAATAGAATAAAGTTTTTCTCTAAGCTAAAGGTAATAAATTAATTCACGCAAAACAAATAAGAATAAAGCCATTTGAGAAGTAATTCATTTTGGGTTGGAGTTTTCCAAGTTTCTTACCTATATACACCTTCTATGCTATTAAGAGCTGTGATTCCTGTAACAAGTGAATCAGCCAAATGATATTTGCCATCATGCATTGCTCTGTCAAACTGTATTTTCTGATCGCAAAGCATCCATAACTAATAAGAAAAAAAATACAATTAGGGACAAAATGGCAAGTGTTCGCCTCATTATTCAACAGAGAAAAAAAGTATTTTGGCTTGCTTAGCAAATATCCTTACAATTCACATACATTCTTTTTGGGGGAAGATTTAAAAACTATCTTAAAATATTTCAACTATGTGTAAAAGCACTAAGAATAAAACAACAAACACGTGTGCCAGTCATCAACTTTGTCACATCGCAGCATTCTGATTTACTTGCTTCAGATACTATTACATACTACTGCAGTCCTTTATAAATTCCATTCCTCTCTTTCCAAAGTAAGCACTTGATCTGATTTTGATACCATTCCATTCATATTCTTATACTTTTACAACACAAACAATTATCCTTAAACAGTAGACAGTATGATCTTGTATGGTTTTAAACTTTGTATAAAAAGCATCATACTGTATGCATCCTTTGACAACCCACCTTTAAGCTCAACATTGTTTTGGGGGACTTACACATGTTAATACAATAAGTTCTAGTTCGTCCCTTTCGCTGATGAATAGTTTTCAAATAGTTTTCAAATAAGTTATATAAATAAGTGACCACTTATTTATTCTTGTGTTGATAGGTATTTAGGTAGTACCGATTTTTCACTCTTCTGAAAAATATTGGAATAAACATTTCCATGCACTCCTGCTGTGCAGGTTTATGTCAGGTATACAGCGGGCAGTGGAAATGTTGGGTTGTAGGATACATGCACTTCACTTTAATATGGTGCCCGTTTGTTCTTCTAATGGGTTGTACCAGTTTACACACCCCACCAGGAGTATAAGACGTTACTCGTTGCTCCACATGCTCACTAATGATTGGTAAAGTCAGTAATTTACTTTTGGCCAATCTGATGGGTATGAAATATCTCATTATTGTTTTAATTTGTCTATCTCTGACCTCTAGTTAGATTGAGCATCTTGTTATATATTTATCAGTCATACATGTTTTGTCTATAAACTATGAATTAAATTGTATCTTTTCGGTTATTTATTTTATTGTGCACCTTCTTTAAAAATGGCTGGAACGTCAGGTAACGAAAACTGTTCCATCACGTTAGCGCTACCACAGAACCACACTTCACCCTCGGGTGCTATCTTGCATCATGTCTGCTCACCGTCTTTCCCTCCGCGTGCTCTGAATTCAGAGCCCAGCACAGCTCGCCTGCAGATGGGCACTCACGCTGTATCTGATGATGCGGAGCCAACAGCCCATGTGAACGGCAGCCTCAGGGACCAGGGGAGGAGATCCCGGGCTGAGGCCTCTTATGATTTCAAATTCCCTAACCCACTGAAGACGAAACTTGTTAAGGGAGGGAAGAGAAAGAGGCCCCTTGTAACAGTTTTCTCAGCACCGTCAGAGGTAAAAAGTTGGTGCAATAAGGAACAGAGGGCCTCGAACTGCTTTCTAACGTTCATTCCCTCTGAGTGCAGCATCTTCCCAAAAGGTCACTCAGTTCTGGGAGGGAAAGATTAGAGATGCAAAGTGTGAGACAAAATAATGTAACTGAAACCTAATTCTCGAGTTATCGGAAGGACACTGATGATTTTTTTTCTTACTCCCATACAGTTAGAGATATAAAGAATACTAACTTAAAACCATATATGGAGACAGGAAGAAAAAAAGTACCCGACTTTAAATCTTTTCTCAGAGCTTATCTCTCAGCCTTCTAGAAGAGAGCTTACAGAGTCTCCTGAGTAGCTATGGTAACCTCGATGCACAGATGTCACAGAAAGGGACCAAGACACGAGAAACCAAGGGGCGACTCTAAGATACCCCACTCTGACAACCACATAGTAAAAATAATCTTTTCAGAAATAAATCCAATGCCATGCAAAAGACAGGTTACCTGGGCATGCTGACTGTTAGGTGGGAATCGTTCCTTCAGGTGCTTTAACACTTCTGAAGCTGCAGCGAAACAGCCCTAAACAGAAAGGACGAGATGAGCACGGCTGTGTTGAAACCACACCTGCCGCACCCGCACCCAGGATGCAGACGTGAGTCACCTGTTCTTGGTGCAGTACCCTGGAAGCCACTAGGCAGAGACTGTCAAATCTCAAAGGGCCATATTTTAGGCTCTAATATATTTTATTTGTTAAATCATACATTTAATTCATCTTCTCTCTAGAAAAAACTTACAAAATACATGTAAACAAGAAAAAGACAAATTATTTTTGATCCCATCAAACAAAATCATAGTTAATGTTTTGATACATATCTTTCTAGACTTATGAACATAAATATAAAACACAAATATTCAAAAAATAGACACACATATTTTTATAAATTGCCTATAGCACTGTTTACCACATGGTAGGCACTCAGTAGTTTTTCAATGAATGAATCTTTCCAGTGTCAAATACAAACCTATAGCATCGAAATATTAGGTAAAGAGACTATGGTATACCAAAATAATCTCATGGTTTGGGATATTTTGGTTATTTCTAATTTTTTCTACTTTAAAAACCGCTACAATGACTATCTTGGTGCATATATCTCTGCATACTTATCTAATTATTTCCTTAGGCTAAAAACCTGAGAAGCTGAATTGCTGAGCAAAATGACAGGCACTTTTCAGCTCTGACATATATTCCTAGTCGCCCTCCAGAAAAGTAGCAAGTACTTTCACACCAGCACTCTGTGCCTCTCTCCTCCCCTGATACTTAAGCATCTCTGCCTATTTAATTGGTGAAATTAATATTTCACTGTATTAATGTGAATTTTTTTAATGACCAAATTTTAAATTTTTCATTTTTGGGGTCACTTACGCTTTTTCTGTGAATGCATGTTTATGTCTTTTTTAAACATATTGTTGGGAAGTTTATGTTCACCCTATTGACTCCAAAAGCTGTTCAATTCGGCTTAATCTTTGATCAGCTAATGCATCTTCTGTCCATAAGGAAGCTCAGGCTGCAAGTGAACTGTTATTTAAAACGGAAATTACACTGAATTACAATAAAAGATCATTAATTTCTTTATTCTTGTGATTTTAACTGGCCAGTCTTGCCAATTATTTTCATGACTGCCATAGGGAGTTGGGTATGTGGATTTAGATGAGTTGCTGTCAAACATTTAGGCTGAGCAGAGAGAACAGTGCTCATGCTGTATGTTCCCTCCAAACATTCCCACTGAGGCCTGCCATCCCTGAGGCTAGGAGAGAGGAATGATTCATGAGGAATCAGAATTATGCAGAAAGAGCAAAGGGGGCTGTACTTCCTCTAGCCTTTGGGTTACAGGAGGAAGCTTGGAAGTTGCAGTACAGTGCCCATAGCTTCTTCATAGGCCTACCCAAGCCCCAGTCACTGCGTACCCTAAGGGCAACATCCAATTTATTTGGAGATCAATTTCGGAACACAATTGGAAGCACATACAAAGGAAATAAAAGAGCAAATGGAGACTCATGATAAAGCAGCCTTCTCCACAGTTGGCCAAACTTAATTTCACAGGTGTGAGTCTAACCTGTGTAATTAAAAATGTGACAGTCATCAGTCCAGTGAGTATACCTGCATGGCTGATGTTATAACACTAGAAAGGTCTTTCTAAGGCAGGTTATGGAAAGGGGGGAAGAGATAGAACTGAAATAAAGGGGTCGCTATCTTCTTCTGCAACTGAAGGTTTTGCCAATACATCCTGGCCACCGGAGCCAGGCGACGATGGACCAGCGGGTCCCTCACATAAGCCCAGAGATGAAAGCGGGGTGAAGACAAGAAATAGTAATGTAGATTCAAAGAGCACGGTTACTTTTCAAGGTCCTACCCCCAGGAAAATATCACAGAATGCTAACAATGGGCCTTAGAGAAAGTTTCAAGGCTAAAGAATTTAGTCAAGACAAGATTTCTGTCCAGGAGTTTTTCTATTACAGTAGAAAAAAAGTCATTTCTACCGTACAAAGAGAACTGAAGGGAAGTCACTCCAGTATTTAAGGTTGGGGTCAGTGGAGACAATTCAACTTCAGAAAGTCACACGGGGACACTTCAACTGGGTGAACAGTATGGCATATGAATTATATCTCAATAAAGCTGCTGGGGAAAAAAAAGTTGCATGGGGGTCACACCAAATACCTGACCGAAGGTTCACTGACTCATCTGTTACCAAATGCTCCACGTAGCACCCAGAGAAGAAAAGAAGGATGTGAAAGAAATTCCAGTGCCGCTAGGAGGGGAAAAAACCAAGAAGCTGATGAAGCTGGAGGAAAGCACGCAGCGAGAACGCCGGCCTGCTGTTCTGAGGTCAGACAGCCGGAGCGAGGCGTCCTGGGTACCGGAGGAAAGCGCGGGTGAAGGTGGCTGGGTACCCCCGGCCAGAGCCCACCCACCCGCTCAGTTTACACAGCTTCCTGAAGGACTGCAAAAGGCCGAAACACGGGGAAGGCTTCTGAGAGGGGTGGAGCCACCCAAAGACCTTCAGGCTGCAGATGAGGAAATACCGAGCGTTATGATGCGACCTAACAACAAAGGCCACCGCGAAGATGGAGAAAAACAGTATGATCTAGGAAGCCACGCACAGCCGGGCAGTGTCTACTGCACCAGAGGGCTTAGAGAAGAGGTTTCCCTGAGCTCTTTCCTGAGAGGGGAGAGGCAGCTCAGAGCAGCACGAGACCCTGCTGTCAAACCCCTGTCAGGAGAACCACTCTAGTTACTTGGGCGTAAGTCAAGTTTATGTCCAGTTCCCACTGTCCTCCTTGGAGTCGCTCAGACTTGGGTTGGAGACCTGACTGACAGGTACCGGTTGTGGGTACAGGGCTTTGCTCCCTGGATCTCAGTTTCTTGTTCTGCGAAACAGAGATAATAATAAAGCTGACCTCGTGGGGCTCTTGATAAGGATTCAGTGAGACGACACGCGTGAAAATCCGAGCGCAGGGCCTGGCCTGGGACCTGTGCTGTCACCGTTTTAACAATCCCCGAATTACGCTCCCGCTCTCCTGTAAACACCCACGGCTCTGCCGTCACACTCCTTCCCATCGACACACCGAGACAGCTCACCTCTTACTCGCTTCACGGATGCCGAAAGGGGTCCCACCTACAACAGGCTTTGCGAACCCGGCACCCAGTCCACTACACCCTCTCCGCCACCCGCAGCCACCCAGACCTGTCCTGCTCTCTCTGGAGCACTAGAGAAAAGGAATGGCAGAGCGTTGTCGCGGCCTACCTGCTCGGCGTGCAGCTCTGCGAGGTGGCAGAGCGCCACTGCGAACGACTCGGTATTGTTCTGCTGCGCGCCCGCGTTCGCCGCCTCCAGGCTGTTCATGCTCAGCAGCATCTGGGCCTGCTGCAGCGCCATGGTGCTGGCGGGGAGGGGAAGGGACCCGTCAGTCGGGGCCAGGCTGCCCCTCGGCCACAGCCCGCCGTGATTGCGTGGAAAGGGAAGGCTTGTGGGAGCAGCTGCCACCACTGCAGAGCGGGAAGCTTCCCGTGTGAGCCGCGCCGCGGGAGACGCCGGTGATGCCAACGGAGCACCGAGCTCCGGCCCCCCGCCGACTCGGGTTCTCCTTGCGGTTCCCCGCACTTCTGGCAGTCTTCACGGCTAAACTCAGACCTGATGCTGTCCTGGCACCAGCTGCTCTGGCAATCTAAACTGTGGCCAGTGTCTGCAGCTGTTTCAGACCACGCTGTGCCAAAAAGCGATCGCAGCTACAGAAACGAGACTGGTAAAGTGGGCACTTTCTTTCGTTACTGAAATCCCGAAAACAGCAGATTGTCTAGGTGAGCAGTGAGGTAGTGGCAGGGCTCCAGGGTTAAAAATCCGGTTCAGAAGTTTATTCCAAGCCAAAGGAGGCTAAATGAAAATTAAACCCAAGGCTGGAACTATTCCGAGGACACTCCTTTCTCTACATAACAGTTTGGGGTCCAGGGGATGCTCACCTTGAGGGACCCTAGCCCACACCTCCTGTGAAAGGGAGGAGGTTCCTGTCTCACAGAGCAAGGGGGCGGTGCTCGGTGTCCTGGCTCTGTCACTTATTAACTACACTTGTGATCTCAGGCACATCAGATGTGTGAACCTTGGTTTATGCATCCTAAAATGGAGATCACCCACCAGTCACCTCAGAGCCATTGGGAGGCATAAATAAGAATGGGCCTGGGAAAAAACTCTGCAAGGTCTGTGCAAAGCACAAAATGTTTTGAAACTATAAAGCACGAACAACTTTCATCAAAGAGGGAAAGACCTGTCTGGTCCTTCACAGAACCCATTTGCTAGCCAATGCTTGTCTGCAAAAGAAGTCATGCCCCCACGGCCCTGACCTTCCGCCTGAAGACCCACCTGCGGCCATAGAGCCTCCAGATGGCTGTTTTCTGTGCGATGCTGATGTCGATGAGCTCCGACAGGCTGTGTTTCCAGTGCAGGAGGTCGGAGTCCTTCAGCGCATCCATCAGCTTGTTTGCCGTCTTCCCAGCAAAAGCCCTCTGCTGAACGAGGGACTGTATCCCCAGGGAGGCGAGGTACTGAGGGGGCAGATATACCCACAACCCAAGATAGAGATTACATGACAGAATGTGTTTTTTTTCTTCAGAAATTTGCCATATTTCACATGTTAGCATATACACAGTGATGGCACTACTTAGAAAGTACCTATAGCCTGACCCTGACCCACGGGAGCTGTGTTCCTGAAAAACGGGCTAGAAGACAGGCTGTTGGTTCGCTGAGAATAGCCAGGGCTTTGGCATTAAATGGACCTGAGCTTAAACAGCGCCTCTGCCACATACTATGTGACCTGCAGCCAGCCACGTGGTGCTTAGCCAAACCTAGCTTTCTCACCTTCAAAACAGGCATCAAACATATTATAAAGAACTGTTGTGAGGATTAAAATGAATTAGTATGTCAAACAGTGCTGGGCACATGATGTAGCAGGGGATTAAGAAAGGATGCCCATCGTGAGCAAAATTATCTTTTCATTAACTTTTAGTATAATTTTCAACGATGAAAGCTCAACTAAAATAGGATTTTGTTAAATCCATAACAAAAATTGTAATTAAGAAGTCTATCATCTATTTTAAGGAGCCACTTAGTTTTGTCATTAGAATCAATTCTGTACATATAACTTTCCCAGAAATGAGTCAAATGGACAATTTACAGATTTGAAAAGTATATAGTTTAAATTACTACACACACACAATTACTTTCAATTTTACTGGAATTTGCTGCAAACAGATGCGTAAGCAGTCCCACTGCCCATGGTCCATTTTCAGCAGATGTTTTTGAGATGAAATAAGGTTCTTTGTACAATGGCAATCTAGATTCTAACAGCCATTATGATTTCATGGGTGCAGACTATGCCCTTTCAATGCCCCTCAGTATTTGTCATTGAAAACTGAATTATAATTCAGGTCCTCCCCTGTCACTCAAAATGAGAAAAGACAAATCTGACTATCTGGTTTACGACTAGTTGCTGGCTTTATTGTTAAAACAGGATCGGCAAACTCGTTCTATAAAGGAACAGACAGTAAATAACTTAGGTTTTGCAGACCACATTTGGTCTCTGTTGCATATTCTTCTTTGTTGTTTTTTCCCCAACTGTTTAAAAATGTACAACCCATTCTTAGCTTAAGGGCCATACATAAGCAGGATGTGAGCCAGTGTGGCCCAAGGGCTAGAGAGTTTGCCAATCCCTGGTTTAAAAATAAGCCTTTTCTGAAAATTTTCCAAGTAAATATGTGGAAATTAATGTTGATCAATAAACTAAAAAAAAAAGTCTCATCAAATTGACAAATGGAACTTTCACAGATGTTATTAGGATAAAGGGAGCAGCGAGAAATCAATCAGACAGAATTTAATGGTTTAATTAATATTAAGGTCATATGAAACTACCAAGAATAAAACCACACCATTTATTTAAACAATGGAAAATGAGCCTTACCGGTAACCCAAAATGTACTGCTTTCTTCACAGAATGCTCTAGCAGAACGTAGCTATCAGATCTCTTCTGCCCCAGCACATAAAGCCAGCTCTGGTAAGAGAAACCATCAAAATATATCCTGACAATGGTAACGGTTAATGTTCTATTAAAACATCAGCAT